AGTGTACAGCCACTTTAGACGGCTTGGGCATTTCTTTAAAAGTTAAACACGAACATCATATGACCCTGCAATTCCACCTTTAGAAATCTGAGAGAAATGAAGACATAACCAAAGACATGTCCACATTCATAGCAACATTTTTCATAACCAAAAATTGGAGCTAACCCAAATGCCACTAGTAAGTAGGTCAGCAAAATACTGTATTCCTAAAAAGGAATGAAGTACTGATACATACATTATGCCAGACGCAAAACACTACCTACTGTATGATTCCATGTGGATGACATGTCCAGAAAAGGCAAATTTATAGACACACAAAGCAGAGTAGTGGTTGCCTAAGACTGGGGGTTGGATTAGCTGCAAATGGGCACCAGGGAACTTTGTTGAGTGATGGAAATCGTCTCAAACTGGATGTGGTGATGGTTGTACAATGCTATGGTACATAAACTATATCTTGATACAGCTGTTGAAAAAGCAAAAGCAAATGGAATTGCTGGCAATTCAGTTGTGTGTCTTACCTATACTAGCTGAAGCCTTTGGGTTCCTTTTCTTCACAAGTTGAGGTTAAAACTGATCAAAAATATACTTAGTACTCAAAGACGTTCTCCAAACTTACCGCTCTTTTAGGTCCTGTCTGAAGTTTGACACTGCAGTTTTTATTCAAAAGCCACCTGGACCCATCAGACTCAAGCAGGATGCCCAGTGGAAAGAAGGGTAAGAGCTTATGCCCCCAAACCGTACTGTTGTGCTGTAAGTTTGACAGAGCGCAGTTTGAGATTTCATTCTCTAAGAGGACACCGTTGGGTGGACCATCCCTCAATAATTTTCTCTATCTGAACAAGGCTTTTGCTTTACAACCACACGTCCTTTGTACACAATTAGAGAACCAAGCTGTATTTTCTCAGCTCCTTTTAGAAACTCACTTTGCCATTTTCTAACATTCCATTCATCAACGCTGAGTCTCTATGGTATCTAATGATTCAAGAATGTTCTCCCCTTTTCCACAGGACAAGGATGACAATGGGATTAAGGCAGGACAGGTATCTGATTTTGGCTCAATTGTCTAGACCTGTCTTTTTATTTGCGGACACAACGTAGAGCATCCCAAATGGAGCCCCCCTTTAAGGCCTGACTTTTAAAGTTTGTAAAGTTTCTGGAACAGGTGGCAAGAACTGGCTGTGGATGGTCTATAGGGCAGACAGATCCTCTGTGGAGGCCAGAATGGTGGTCTCCCATTTCCCCACTCTGGTTTACACATTTGTTATTGCCCCAATCAACATCCGCCTCATATAGTATTTACCTACTTTTGTCACTAGGCAGAGAACTACAGTTCTTGTTCTTGGGGCTGGATGTCTGGGAAACATTCTAGGTTTGCTGAATTAGACAGATGGGCTGCTACCATTCAAGGGACTCTTCATGTTAACACCACCTAAATCGTAAGTGGCCAAATGTGGTTACCTTTTTGGTCAGTTCTACCAAACTGTCTCACTTTGCACTGGATGTGGGCAACAGATGAGCAGATAGGAAGAAAGGAAACTAAGGATTACTAATCAGCTCCTCTATGCTGGACAAAATCATGGTACATTCATATGACTTTTTACTTAACCCTAGGAACTAGGAAAAATGACATCCATCTTAGAGTTACGCAAAATGAGAACTGGGGCAGGTGAGGAGGGGCTATCCAAGAAAGATCAGTAGGAATGTACACATTTGGGTCTTAAGACTCCATACTCAATCATTGTTCAGAAGTTTGAGGGCCTCGAGAGTGCTGGCATGGGAGCCAAACACCGGAAACACAATGGCTGATCAAAACTGACGCTATTGGGGCGCCTGGGTGGCTCAGTCGGTTAAGCGGCCGACTTCGGCTCAGGTCATGATCTCGCAGTCCGTGAGTTCGAGCCCCGCGTCGGGCTCTGTGCTGACAGCTCAGAGCCTGGAGCCTGTTTCAGATTCTGTGTCTCCCTCTCTCTCTGACCCTCCCCCATTCATGCTCTGTCTCTGCCTCAAAAATAAACGTAAGAAAAAAATTAAAAAAAAAAAAAAAAAACCTGATGCTATTCAGCGTCCATATAGCTTAAAGCCAGATCAGAGGTTCACAAAAATAAATGTGTAATTATAAGCTGTGGAAAATATCATAAAAATTCAGTCCTCTATTGAGGACATCATTTCTCAACAAACACACATTCCACCATCACAGAACCACATATCCCAGCCCTGAAGGTGTCACTGTCAATGTTGGTGATGGAATATACCCAGTACATGATGCTTACACATCAGCTGTCACTTTGTAAACACCAGCTGAATGAATGATTCTTCTCTGATGAGAAAATGGCACAACAAAGTTAAAATCTGATTTGTTTCAATTTTATTTTCCTATCTCAGTTTCAGTAAAAGATTCAGAGAACTCATTGACACAAATCATAAGCTATCTCCCACCCATATACAGTATATGTCCAGTTTCTACTTTTTTTTTTTCACTGAACAAATTGATACTTTGTTCAAACCAAAGTACCAAGGGGGGGGGGGATATGGGTGTGGTCTTTTTATTCACAGACAGTAAATGTATATGCACCACCACTACGGGAAAAGCACTGAGGAAATATTTGCATCCCACAGGTTAAAAAGTCAAGCAATTAATACAATTAGAGTACCTCCAAAGATAGCAGATTTGGAACAATTAGCCATTACTGTGAAGGAAGTCCCTAGTCGTCTTTTTCTGCCACCACATTCCTACACTGGAATTTAAGCCCTCTTCGTGGTGCAAGTATAAAAATTATCGAAGTCAGGGTTTTATGGCAATCTCTTGCTAAAATATATTCTATTTTAATATACATGCTACAAAAGTACACTAAAAAGGTCAATCTTTAGAGCTCTGTTAAAGAATTTACTTTTTTACACATAATGTTCACCCACCTCTAAAACCATATTTGAGGGAAGCTATTACTGTGACCCCAAATATTTCTAGCTTAATATTTTGTTTATTGTTAATAGTATTCTGTTTATAATATTGATTTTATAATACGTGTATTCAGTAATGCTCTTATAATTCTGTATCGCAGCGCCTCACCCATCACTTTAAAAAAAAAAAAAAATGCAGAAGGAACTGTGTGCCTCCAAGCAGTTCTTAATTGGGCAATCACCAAGTTTTCAAAGTTCCTGTTACAAATTTTTTCATTTTATTTTTTAAACTTTGTTACTCTAAATTCTTTTAGGATCAACATCTGGAGCTTTTAATTAGGCAAATACAAATGAGAGATGCTAAACATGAACTTGTAGGTAGCCTTTGAAAGGAAAAATTCCCTCCTGTAATAACATTCCCAGTGCCAGTGCTAGGTTCTTACAGGATAGAGTGAAATGACACTGACTGAGCACCTCCGGGGCAGATGAACTGGCCGCACGCACGCCAAACCAAAAAACCAGACTCTTGGTACAGAGTTTAATTCTATCTACTATAATCGTGTGGTGCAGGGGATGAAGCTGCTAGTTATAGATTTACATCCAGGGATCCCAAGCAGATATGTTATCTTTTATCTCAGAGTAGTAGAACGGAAATATAAAATAATTGAAATTTATTTCTGATTTAAACAAAAATAGTACTCTTTTCATTAGCAAAACATTCTTGAAAATATATCTATTTCTCCTCTTTGAACAGTTAGCCAAGGAGCACTAGGCAACTTCTGAAGGTTTAATGCCAACTGTTCAATACAATAAATATGGATATAGAGAGCACACAGCAACAGCAGCTTATTTACATTCACTGATGACAACACATTTCTTATCCGGTTACAGTGTCCAGGCCAACAAAGGAAAGGTTTGGCATTCATGTGCTTTCTGTTCTGAAGATGAGAATCACTTCTGCTTGATTTTCATTCTTGGAAGAAAAAAATAACGAGCTGTTGTCCTCGGATTTGATGACATGATGTGAAAGAGGAACGGAACAAAGATTGGCTGTACCCACAGAGTTCGTCAGGGATTGGGTCTCCAGGCAGATTTCTTCTTCACGGGTGAGTGTCCGGGGGGCTTCACAGGCACCAGCAGGGAGGCACCCAGGACACAAGTGGGCAGACCCTAATCTGGGGAAGGGCTACTCTTGCACCCCCTCTGTGCTTCAGCCTCCACCCCTACTTGCCACCCTCTATATCGATCGTATGTGCTTGAGGCTGCAAAACTGATGGAAATCAGCTTAGAGGGAAATGAGGAAAAGCAGAGAATTCGGCCAAGAGGTGGCCTGTTGTCACGCATCACTGTCTTATGCTGCCTCCTGAGCTCCTGTCATCTGTGGAGGATGCGTACATGATGTTCTTCATAGCACAATTCTTTGTTTTTCTTGAAAATTTTTTGCAAGGTCATGTTTTTCCAAACAATTTTATCAGGAGTAGAGTTTGAGGTCTGCTCTTTTTGAACCTACCGAAAAGTGGAATGTTTTTCCCTGGCAAATGATTACTTCTTTGAAAAGCAGACAAGCTTCTTTTTTTTTTTTTTTTTTTTTTTTTTTTTTGGATCCAACTTAGCCCTTCAGAAGCAACTTCAGACTAAGAGGAGGAAGTACAGTAGAACTAACTTCCTGTTGTGCCTTACATAAAACATTTTGTTAAAATTAAGAGCAGCTCCAAGTACAAAAGTAAATATTTGTGCAAAGGGCACAATGCCAGATGCAATCTTAAGACATCCTCAATTTTTACTCTTTTTCTGTCTGACTCTTTAAAACACAAAGTCTTTTACGTTATGAAATCTAGGCAAGTCAGGGGAAGGAAGTTTACATCAGAAAATACTCTTTAGAAAAAAGTACAGGATCTTTTGCTGATCACTTGTTACTCATTTCATAACTTAGCTCAAGTGTTGGTTAAATATTCACAGTAATTTTAGAGAAGAAACATTTATGTCTTTAAAACTTCAATCCATTGCATTTTCAACCAGTTTTCTGTACAATTACAAAATTTCATCTGTCAGTGCTTTTCTGTAGAATTCCTTATTGTCAGTCCTTCCCATTCCGGACCCAGCTATAACTTCAAGGTGGGCTGCAGAATTCCTTTCTCAATTAGATGAGTCTTGAGGGTTTTGTAAATATTTAACTGCTGTTCCGGCTGAAGCACCAACAGCTGCTGTAGCACTTTGCTGGGATTTGGACCCCTGAGGACAAAGCGGAGAAGACCAAGTTCAGGCTATTTTAAGAGAGCTCAAGGAGGCATATACCCCCAACTGAAAATAAATCATGCACTTAAGCGCAGAGTGACAATCTTTACTTGACCAAGCTCACTTTCGTGCCCAATGTTAGTGGCAAAGGGAGGAAAAAAACCCAGAAACATTCTGCACTGAGAGGCATACAGTCTAGATTTGGGAAGAACGCACCAACACAAAACCCAGGAATGACACTAGGCAGTTTAGGGGATGCAAATCTAAGTTCTACAAAACTTTTCAAAAGGGCAACCTGACTGAAAGGTGAGAACAGCTAACAAGTCCTGAGACTGGACAAGACACAAAAACTATCAAAATTCCTGGTGGATGAAGATAAGCCAAAAGAGGACCTGAAAATATACTTTACATTTTTCAGCCTCAGGGGCGCCTGGGTGGCTAAACTGGTTAAGGGTCAGACCTCAGCTCAGGTCATGATCTCACGGTTCATGAGTTCGAGTCCCATCGGGCTCTGTGCTGACAGCTCAGAGCCTGGAGCCTGCTTCAGATTCTGCGTCTCCTTCTCTCTGCCCCACCCCCACTCACACTCTGTTCACTGTTTATCAAAAATAAACAAACATTAAAAAAAATTTTTTTTTAAATTTAGCTGCAAAGAAACTTCAAGAAATGCCCCTGGGGAATTATGAATGTTCATGAGACAGGGCACAAAGGTGCTGGCCCAGCACAAAAGCCCCAACCCAGGATTTGCAGTAGATGCCACAGCCTTTGTTCCAAAGAAAGTCTTAGGTGAGCCCCAATATAAGAAACAAAAGTGAGTCTTTTCTAGTTGAAAAAAGGAGGCGGACAGCCTGCCCCCCTCACCCCCACCCCCAGCAGTCCCTGTGGTGACGAGATAAGCCTGGCTGGAACTGAAGCAATACCAAGGCAGCCCGTGATGCCCTCACCCTTCTCTCCAGGGGACATCCCAAGGGCAGCGTAGGGCCTCTCCTCAAGCAGCAACCTCAGCAATCCTCGGGTTGGCTCCTCCAGCATCCCCACTCCAGCCCTTCTCTTCCTGCCCTTCGCACTGTCAGTCAGAAAAGGTTCTAAACAGGACTCCTACCCTCTCCCTGCTGTGACACTTTTGCAGTCAGGGGATTGTAACTTCCCCACCCCTGAGACGCTAGAACTCAACCTGTTTATACCTGTGTGATCTTCTCAAGTGTCATTCTCTCAAATTCAGAATGAACTGATTCAGAATTTAATGTGTATGTATTGTTCTTTGCAATTTCTACAGTCTATTTGAATCAGTAAAGGAGAGTATGGTTTACTTTTTGTAAAGAGAGATTAGTAAAATCCAATGGGAAAAAGCAAGACATAAATGATATATGGAGAATGGCACCGAATTCTGAGAAATACTGTAAATCATAAATTTAGTTATCCGTGTAAGGACTATCAGTTCAAATGGAATTATAGGAAATAGGAAACCCAGCGGCAAAGAAATGTCTGCTATGCAGGGATAACACAACAAAAATCTTTGATTAAAAAAACTGCACGATGTCATAGATCAGCCATCCCATGGGTTACCTTCATGCACGTGGCTCAACTCGTTTGCCAAAAGTGTGGCCATATGTCTCTCACGGCCACTGTCCACTCAAGTCAGGGCACAGCTTGTCTTACATCTCTTCAAAAGATTCAGCAACTTCATAACAAACCCAGAGTAGGGACCCACAGAGAAAAGGAAGGGTATTCTAGCAAGTTCAGCTAAATGCAAAATTATGTCAGCAGGTGCTCCCAGCTAGATGCATCCTGGCACTTGCCCTGTATTTCTAATAGTCTAAATATTTGCTTTCAAATGGTAGACAACATGGCTCAGCATGACTCTTCTCTATGGAGAGAATAGCAGGTTAAAAAAAAAAAAGTTTGAGTTAATGCCCTAAAAGCTGCTACCATCTGAAAATAGAGTTCTAAGGATTTGAGCATTAAATACTAATAAAGATATCAGTAAATAAATCATATAAATGGATTAAATATTCCAATTAAAAAGACAAAGGCTGTCATCTTGGTTATAAGAAAACAAATCAAGCTATATGCTTGTTAGAAGAGAAACACACTTTAAATATAGGGATAAAGGAACGCTAAAAATGAAACCCTAGACAAAGAAACCCTATATAAACACTAACCAAATGAAGGCTGATGCAGCTCTTCTAGGATCCAACAAAATAGGCTTTAAGCAAGTAGTATATAAAGATGGATGTTATATAATGACCTTAGGAGTGATTCAATAGGGACACAGGACAGTCCTACATGTGTATATACCTAAGACAACATCAAAATACATAAAGCATAAACTGACAGGACAGAAATAGGTAAATTTACAATCACAGTGGGAGATTCTGACCAAGCTCTCTTCCTCACAGAATGATGAGATGGAAAAAACAAACCCCAAAAATCAGTACAGAAGATGTAGCTAAACTTCACCTAACTGGCACGTACTACCCTATGTCCGCAAACTGTGAAACGCACACTTGTTGCATGTGCACATGAACACATCCCTGCATAGATGGTATGCTGCGGCATAAAACAAGCCTCCACCAAAAGAAGGAAAAATAAAGAGTATGTTTTCTGACCACAATGGATGGAATTAAGGCAAAAATCAATAAAGGAAGGAGAATGAGGAAATCTCCATTTGTATGGAAAGTAATCAACACCTTTCTAAATAAAGCACATGTCAAAGAAGATATCCTAGTGGAAATCAGGAAATATTTGTAACTGATAATGAAAATACAAATATAGCATATACTATGAGAATAAGGCAGTACTTAAGAGGGAATTTACAGTATTATATGACTATATTAGGCAAGAAGACTGAAAATCAATAAGCTTTATCTCATGAAGTTCAAAAAGCAATAGCAAATTGAATCTAAAGAAAGATGAAGGAATGAACGATGTGAGTGGACATCAATGAAATAGTAAGTTAACAAAGCCAGAATTTGATTCTTTGAAAGATCAATGTAGTAACAAGACTGCTCAAGAAAAATAAAGATTAATACAAAAACTCCTATACTGCTCAGGCTATATATTTAAAATGTGTATTTAAGGATCTACAAATATGAGTTTCACTCCAGATACTGTATAAAGGAAATACATGTGTTCTGTGGTCAGGCACTTAGTAGAGACCATGGAAAATAAAGTTCACGTGTGGTTGCTGTGGTTTGCTTTCACACCCCAAGCTGGCATTTTAGGGCAGATCCAAAACCTTAGGTTTAACAAGAATAAGCCACCCTTTATAAAAGAGCAATACCCTCCCACTCACCCACATCTCCACCCCCACAACCATAATCCTCAGCCCGCTCTACTTTTCTCCATCACACTTAGAACCACCTAAAACGCTATGTTTAGTTGTTTATCTTTCACTTCTCCACCTTCTCCGTCCAACTCCCCAGTAAGGATATAAGCTCTGAGGTCAGGAACTTTGTTTTGTTCTCTTTGTGATACATCCTAGAATATTCCCCAGTGCATCAGAGGCACTCAAGCAATAACTGGGGGACTGGATGAATTATTATGTCCTCCTCCTTTTTAATTAGTATTCACTAATTGAAAAGAAAATGTAACACCATTGTAACACCACAGAAAATGAGAAATTAAATTTTCTAATATTTCAATCCAGTATTATCCACATTAACTAGATCTTACCTTGGTCCTATTAAAGACCATGACATACACTATTGTTTAAGTTGTTCAAATATATGTAACATAATTATAATTTAACCATACTTCTCAGGGCAGTAAGATGTGACAGCTCCATGGCCACCATTCCCCTTTGATATTACATAGTACCACTGACAGAAAAAGCAACTCAAACTAATGCCTACGGGAATGAGAACTCAAATCATCTAATAAAACATTTTTTAAAAATCGAAAAGTACCTTATAAAACTTGTGATGTACACATGCACAAAAGTTGCCATCAAATACTGACAATCAAATCTGTCCATTATTCCGCCATGTCCAGGAATGGTGTTTGCAAAATCCTTCAGAAACAAACATATGAGTAAATTTTAAAAAGATCACCTGCTATCGGGGCACCTGGATGGCTCAGAGGGTTAAGCGTTTGACTTCAGCTCAGGTCATGATCTCACAGTCTGTGAGTTCTAGCCCCACATCAGGCTCTGTGCTGACAGCTCAGAGCCTGGAGCCTGCTTCAGATTCTGTATCTCCCTCTCTCTCTGGCCCTCCCCTCCTCATGCTCTGTCTCACTCTCTCAAAAATAAATAAACATGTCAAAAAAATTAAAAAAATCACCTGCTATAAAACTCCTACCTGGAAATGTCTCTTTGGGACCACAGACTCTCAGAAAAATACTACAGGATTTTTCTACTTAATACAAACTTACTGTAACATGTCTAACAAATTAAAATCACATCTTTCAAATATGCACCGATGTTGGAATGATTACCAAATTGACTAGAAACATACAAGTAACACTAATTAAATATTAAATCCAGCACTAACTTTTTTTAGTTAATAAAGCTTTTTCTAAATAAAAAGCGCTATCATCTATTATTAATCTAATACTGCTCTAGTCTCTTTTCCTGTTTAACCAGAAGTTACTTAAGGAGCTATTCTAGTGTTGAGACAGATTTACAACTGGTTCTAACTCATGTTTAATAGTTTTTACTCTGAAATATTTTGCTATTATAATATATATTCTTTTTTTTTTTTTTAAGTTTTAGGATAAAAAGAAAATCAAAATAGGTCACATGGGACACATTAGTCCATTAAATGGCCAAACTGAGGGAATGGTTAGTACATCTCTCCAATGGGCTCTGTACAGACATAGCCACATGTCTGAGTGCGAAGGATATAGAAATGATGGATCACCCTTCTAGTTTACTCAGGCAACCAAAAAACATCTAAACAGTTGTTATACCTTCATTTCAGACATGCAAAATAGTATCATCATTCAACAAGAAACCCTGAATTAGAGACTTCTGAAGAAAGTATCATTCTAAATGCAATATTTCTCTATCTAAAACAATTATTGAAAAATTCTTTGGTTACTTCTTGCCAACACATCTCCTTACTTCTCTTCCCTACTAACCAATGCACAAAAGAGCCATATTAACTCAACTCCATTCTGCTGTTTGCAGGCTTTACAGGACAGTCTGGCTGTTGTTGTGGTTCACTGTGGATGTGTGTTATCTCCCCTAGAAGGCAGTGAGCATCTTGAGAACAGAGACATCTTATACACTTCTGCATACTGCTTTCCACCTAACATAGTATCTTCCCCACTGCAAGTATTCACTGAGTTGTTTTTTTTTTTTTTTTTTTTTTTTTTTATTTCCCTGGCTTCTGGGCCCTGTGGGATCTGGCCTTATCAATTATGCATTCTGATCACTTACTCTCTACCATAGCCACACTATTCTTGCTCCCTTTCAGTCTAAGCTCCTTGTCTCCTTTGTACTTTCTGGAACACTCTTCCTTAGATTTCTCTACAGGACTCATCCTTCTTCTTTTGTCAGACCCCTGCTCACATGCTACCTCCTCCAGAGAGGCCTGCCCTGTTCACCCCACCTTCAGTAGCCACTCTGACTCCTAATGGCACAACATCCACTCTTAAGGAAGGCATGTAAGGACAGCTGAGATAACAGGGCAAACATACGTAACTTTATGAGAACCTAAATTAAACAAAACATAGGGATAACTTTAAGTATCTGGAACAGGGATCTGCAAACTATGTCCCACGGGTCAAGTCTAGCCCACTGCCTGTTTTTGTAAATAAAGTCTTATTAAAACCCAGTCATAACCATTCATTGACATATTGCCCATAGGGCTTTTGCACTACAGTGGCAGAGTTCAGAGTTCAGTAGCTGCGATATGATTAATACATGTATGATTTCTCCATTTACACAAAGAGTTTACTGAGCCCACAGCTAGTAGAATGAATGGTCATATGCAAAGGCTCTCCTGCTTGTGTCTTTAAGGGAGACTATGGCATAACACTAAACCTCAGACAATTCATAGCTGGATTCTTGCATGAGCACTTGAAGTCCCAACATTAAGTGACGCATGCCATTCTATAAATGAGGTGGACATGACATTTTAAAATGTATTAACACAGGGCGCCTGGTGGCTCAGCCAGCTAAGCATCCAACTCTTGGTTTTGGCTCAGGTCACGATCTCGCAGTTTGTGACTTTGAATCCCACACTGGGCTCCATGCTGACAGTGCAGGGCCTGTGTGTTTGGGATTCTCTCTCTTCTCTTCTCTCTGCCCTTCCCCTGCTCGTGCTTGCTCTCTCTCGCAAAATAAATAAACTTAAAAAAAAAACTTAAAAATAAAATGTATTAACCTGACCTGACCAAAATTTAATGAGATAGAATACACCAAAATTAGCCAGGAAGCATTTCTATGAGGCCAAAACAACTAGAATGTAAAAGTTTTTGCCCAGAGGCTAAATGTGAGACTAAGGGAAAACCAAATTACAACTATATTACATTCTCTAATTCTCTAATAATGTAACAAAGATTCTAAACACATACCTTGATTTTGAAAGCTCTTTTGAATCCACTGGCAAAGAAGCCTCCAAAAGGGCCAATCAATGACGCAAATGTTGAAAGAGCAATGCTGTGTATCTGGAAAGGATACAAGCTCACTGTTTCCTAAACAGAAAAAAAGGGGGAAAGGGTTTAACTGCAATAAAATTATATTTGAGCATGCCACCTAAACTAAGAACCATGATATAAATATTAAGTCAAACCATTTGCCACATTTTTGTTAACTTCACAAACTTTCAGGATCGTGGGAGAAAAATATTTTGTACGCTCTTAATACCATTCTCTACATAGCCAGCACTCTCCATTCCCTCCGTAGGCATACTGGCAGCACTTGGAACACTCAACTCTTGCAGTTGATAGGATACTCTAGTTTATCTAGAAACTTCTACAACACTTGAGCTGTAGGCTAAGAATCGGTTGAGTTGATTTCTGAATTTGTTTCTTACCAGTAGAACTTTGTAATTATATATTTTAATTCTGTATTTTATTTCACTTTAATTTTGTATGACAAAATAAAAGGAAATTTGGTCTTTGTCTCAAGCTGCTTTCAAAAAGACCACCAAATTGAGCATCAGCAAGACAGTTATAAAAGATTCAGAGAGGAGATAACAAAAATTGAGAAGAATTCTACAGTCTAATTATTTTGTAAATGCTTGGTTCTTGCTCCATTTTAAAGAAACTAAAACTACAAGTTGTAGACAGTACATAAATACTGTGGTTTAAGAAAGATTCTTTAGAACACCAATCTCTGGACCCATTCTCAAAGTGAAGGCCTTACCCCAAAGCAAAGATCAGTAGTGTCAAAAAGTTTTACAGCAGATAACAGATGGCTTGGACACTGAAAACAATTCTTGGAATCCGTGCATTGAACACTCAAGGAGAGAAATAATTTACTGGTTAATCTGCTCCTCAAAATTGTGGATTTTAGTTAAAAATGTTTCAGATACACACACGTACACAGTACACACCTAACTGTTTCATCCCCACTTTAACCAACCAACCACCAGTCCTGATGGCATGGATCAGCAGGGTTCTACCAGACAGCTTGTCAACATCCTTCAGTGAGAGACGTCAGTATTGCTTTTAAATGCCAACAGTGTGCTTTTTGAAGGTAAACTGATTTCTTAGAAGCAGCTGCTTTCTGTACTAGTACAGGTCCCCTAAAAATCAAGGGACTTTGAGCTGCTGAATTTTAATTACGCTTTAAATTGAGTCAATTCATACCAGTTACAAGGGAAGCTCACTGTAAACCATTTGATTTGTAGAAATCTAAGAAATACTGAAAAATATTTTCAAAAAAATACAAGATAAATTAGCATCAGTAATCAAACTATCAAGTAAATTCCTAAGAGACAACTGGTTTATGACAGTAATATTCATTTTATGTTTGAGAAAGGGAAGTCACAAGGGAATAGAAAATATTATTGATGCTAAGTAGACAGTGATACCACTTCTGTATCATTGAATTTAAAATTCTGTACAAATTGATTTCTTGCAAAAAGTTTAGTCCTTTTTTTAAATGAACCTTAAACTCTGGGATGCAGGATCCTTAACTATGTTTATCTTACCCGTCTCAACACCGCCTTTAGAAAGGGAGGAAGTGAATAACTCTGAAGCTGGAAAAGTTCTGAGGGTTCACATTCTGTAACGAAGGAGTTTACATCACTTCGGTATTCCACTGGGCAGACGAAGTACTGATATTTGGATAACATGTAGGCAGCCTGAATAACAAAGCAGGAGTCCATGAAACATTGAATGAAAAAAACCTATCATATTTCTTAACTATCATAATGTGTCAGAAAGACCAGAGACAGAATGCCAAAATTTCTTTGCATTCACATTTTGCTATGTATTTTAAAAGTTAGATGGTCTTAAATGACCCAATAAAAGACTCTGAAAAGCCATTAGAAAACAAAAAGCTTTTCCAGGCGCCTGAGGGGCTCAGTCAGTTGAGCATCTGACTCTTGATTTCATCTCAGGTCACGATCCCAGAGCCCAGCATTGGGCTCTGTGCTGAGCATGGAGCCTTGCTTAAGATTCTCTCTTTCCCTCTGCCTCTCTCCGTGAAGGAAGGAAGGAAGGAAGGAAGGAAGGAAGGAAGGAAGGAAGGAAGGAAGGAAGGAAGGAAGGAAGGAAGGAAGGAAGGAAAGAAGGAAGGAAGGGAGGGAGGGAGGGAGGGAGGGGAGAGGGAGAGAGACAGAGAGAATGAAAGGAAGAAAGAAAGAAAGAAAGAAAGAAAGAAAGAAAGAAAGAAAGAAAGAAAGAAAGAAAGAAAGAAAGAAAGAAAATAAAAAGGTTTTGGAAATCAGTGATCTTACAATCTTTGTACGACAACAAAAAGAAGGAAGGGGAAAGAGAAAAAGAAAACTGCTGTATTACAGCAAGGTTTTACTTTTTTAAAGTACACATAATGAATGTTAGCAGAAGCTAACAATTATAAAGGGATGAGAGAGTACAGGACTGAAATTTATTGCATAAATTATGGTTACATTAATTTCAACAATAAACAACTGCTTATTCAAAATTACTAGTAAGTGAAAAACACCATTGTTTTTAACCAATCCAGGAAACTATTACTAAAGTATTCTTATAGCCATATCACTACAATTTTTAAAACTAGCTATCCTCAGCCATGGGAGAAGATACATAAAATATTTCATTATAAATTTAAATTGCTAGACAACAGTCACCCTCTTATTTTGCAGCCATTTGCCCCATTATATTGCTGAAGAATGGTTAACAAATGTACAAATATGACACTAGGAATGGATTTAATCCAACCATTCCAACCAGTTTACTCAAAATCATTTATTAAAAAATATATGTAAGTAATTTCCTTCCTTGTTCCTTTGTCATGCATTATATTCTTATAGAGTAGCTCTTTATTGTCTTCTAATGATATGGCTATTCTTGTAGTATTTCTAAATAAGTCTTTAATGATACTAATACCACATTCTTATAGTATTATTTAACTTAATATTCTAATTATACCTGCTTTGTGATGTAAAAACATTGGACAAGCCTGGATCTCTTTTCGTTGTTCTATTTATCAATTATTATCTCACCAGTATTCTACCACATAAACATCAGAATAATTTTACTCAATTCTATTGCCACTTTCTTGAGAATCAACTAAACTTACAAATTAAACAGGGCAATTATGGTAGTATTCCCATCCAGGAACCTGGCACATTTCCACTTATTTGTATTTTGCTCCCTCTCAAAGCTCCATGTTGTTACCAGTTACTCCACATCTGGCTACAGAATATATTCAGAACTATCAGGGACTAGACTCTTGAAAAATTAAACTTCTTACCAGTTATTTTTTTTGCATACTTCTATCCAGCCATTTTACTGTATCTTTATTAATTCTCATGAGACCTCTTTTAATACAAACATAAATTCCATAATTGTACACTAATTATTAAAATGTTAACAATATCTATTATGCATGGCTAAAAGTAAATGTCAATTATTTTTATCAAACTTTTCCTGCAAGTTGGGTTTACAGCAGCAAACACCCCCACTAAATCAATTAGCCAGCATGCATTAAGGAGACAGAGTTCTTCAACATCGTTTATATTCTCTGCTTTTCTCAAAGCCACCACTTGTCCCAGCACCTGTGTCCCTGTGTCCCCCATAAGGCAGAACAGCTGTTAGAAACTGCCAAACACAACAGCACAACAGCGGGTCTCAAATCTAGCTGTACGTCAGAATTAACGGGGAGTCCACTGATGGGATAGGGCTGGGACATATATTTTGTATAAGCAACGCAGACAATTCTATTTTTCTTTTTTTTTTTTTAAGATGTATGTATGTATGTATTTACATATTTTTAAAGTTTTTTTTTTTTAAATGTTTGTTTATTTTTGAGA